CAGGGTTAACACACAGAAGCTGTGGTCCAGAGAGTACCAAGGCTGCATCTCATGGTGGCAGCTGAATTTGGTCATGTGTAGGAGTCACCCAGGTGCTACTGATTTTGAAGTTATGAAGGGCCATAGAGAAGAGTTGAGGCTTGGCACTGTGAGAGGTCAGGAGAGGTCATTGGGAAGTTGTGTCCCAGATGCAGGACTTTGAGCTACAGGAATGTGCTTTGGTCCTTTCCTTTTGGATTAAAAGTGTATGTTTTTTTTTATTTTATATGAACCCACATTTTTTGTTTTTGTTTTTGTTTTTTTGTAGTTTAGATTCCACAATCAGGAACTTAATTGTTTCAGTTATTTTCACATGAGTTTGTTAATTTGAGGGTAAAGGGAGGATTGGCAAGGCTTCCATGAATTGTCATTTTTTTGTTTATTACATACCAATCCCAGTTCCTCCTTCCTCCCCTTCTCCCATCTCCTCCCCTCCCACTCCATCCCCTATCCGATCCTCAGAGAGGGTAAAGGGTCCCATGGGGAGTCAACGAAGTCTGGCCCATCACCACATTGAGGCAGGATCAAGGCCCTTCCTGCACCCAGTGTCTAGGCTGAGCAAGGTATCCCTCCATAGGCTCCTAAAAGCCAGCTCATGCACTAGAGATAGATCCTGGTTCCACTGCCAGTGGCCCCACAAACTGCTTAAGCCATCCACTGTCACCTGCATCGAAGGTAGTTTAGTTTAGACCTATGTAGGTTCCCCAGCTGTCAGTCCAGAGTTGTGAGCTCCACTAGCTCAGGTCAGCTGTTTCTGTGGGTTTCCCCATCATGGCCTTGACTCCTTTGCTCATATTGTCCCTCCTCCCTCTCTTACACTGGACTTCGGAAGCTCAGCCCATTGAGTAGTTGTGCATCTCTACATCTGTTTTCATCTGTTACTGGATGAAGGTTCTATGATGACAATTACCATAGTCCTCAGTTTGATTACAGGAGAAGAAGGCCAGTTCAGGCACCCTTTCCACTTTTGCTTAGAGTTTTATCTGGGGTCATCCTTGTGTATTCCTGGGAATTTCCCTAGTGCCAGGTTTCTTGATAATCCCATAATGGCTCCCTCTAGCAAGACATTTCTTTTCCTGCTCTCCCTCTCTGTCTTTTCCCCACTCTAACATACTGCTCCCATTCCCCTTCTCTCCTCCTCCCCTCTCCCCTTCTACCCTTCGACACTCCCAATTTGCTTAGGAGTTCTTGTCTATCTCTCCTTTCTAGATGAATCCATGTATGTCTCTCTTATGGTCCTCTTTGTTACCTTGTTTCTCTGGGGTTGTGGACTATAGGTTGGTTATAGCTTATGCTGGAGAGGGTATGGAGTAAGGGGAACACTCTTCTATTGCTGGTAGGAGTGCAAATTGGTACAGCTATTTTGGAAATCTGTATGGAGGTTTCTCAGAAAATTGGGAATCAATGTACCTCAAGACCCAGTAAAACTACTTTTGGGCATATACCCAAAAGATGCACACTCATATCACAAGGGTATTTATTTGCTCAACTATGTTCATAACCAGAACCTGAAAACAACCTAGATGCTTCTCAACCGAAGAATGGATAAAGAAAATGTGTTACGTTTACACAATGGAGTACTACTCTGTGGTAAAAAAACAATGACATCTTGAAATTTGTAGGCAAATGGACAGATCTAGAAAAAAAAAAAGTCCTGTGTGAGGCAACCCAGACCCAGAAAGACAAATAGGGTGTGTACTCACTCATAAGTGGAATTTGGACTTTTTAAGAGACAGTATTTTTATTTTTTGTTTGTTTTTAAAGAAAACTTTGACTTTTAAAGTGTTGAAGTCTTTGTAAAGTTACAAAGTAAAGTATTTTACTTTGTAAAGTCTTTTTGTCTTCTGTTGTGATATCAATATTAACATGGATTCTTGGGGACAAACAAGGAAGGAAAGTTTATAGTATAATAGTGATGTAGTAGGTGTCAAGGTGACAAGGAGTCAATTGTGTTGGTTAATATTTTGTCAACTCGACACAAAGTCGTCTCAGAAGAGGGAACATTAACTGAGAAAAATGCATCCATCAGACTGGCCTGTAGACAAGTAGGTGGGGCATTTTCTTGATTGATGTGGGCGATGCTATCCACGAATAAGTGGTTCTGGAGTGTGTAAGAAAGCAAACTGAGCAAGCTAGGAGGTGCAAGACAGTACTCCTCCATGGCTTTTGATTCAGTTTCTGCCCTGGTTTCCCTTTATAGTGGAGGACAGCTATAAAATGAAACAAACCCTTTCCTCCCCATTTGCTTGACCAAATCCAATACTGTCTATAATAATGCACTTTCCATTGTTTTCAATCTTTAAGAGTGAGGTCTTAAGTGCCAAGGTACAAAGTGGTATGAGTGAGTTTTCTACTTTAAAAGCAAATATTATTTTACATTTAACAAACATTTCTTCATCAATATATTTTTTAAATTAACTAATTTTCAATTTTTTCAGAACAGCGTTTCTCTATGTAGCTCTGGGTGCCCTGGGACTCACTCTATAGGCCTGGTTGGCCTAGAACTCTGAGATTCACTTGTCTCTGTCTCCCAAGTGCTGGGATTAAAGGCGGGCACCACCACTGCCTGGCTCCTTCTTAGTGTTTTAAAGGTCATTGGAAAAATATTTTTTGAAACAGTCTCATATAGTCCAAGCTGGCTTCTGGCTATGCTGCTAAGGCTAGCCTTGAAACTTCTGATCCTCCTGCCTCTGCCTCCCAAGTGTCGGTATTAATAGGCATGTGTGCCTGTGTCTGGCACAGTTTTATTTTAAGAACCTATTAAGTAGTGAAATCAAGGTTCAAATTGTACTCTGATTTCTTTTTCTTCCCAGGTATGCTATGTTTGGCTTCTGTCATCCTATTTGGAGTGGCCAAAGTACGTTTGAAACTCTGGTGTGGTGATCCTCACCCATCTTGGCTCTCATTATCATTGACCTGTGCATGACTGTGTCATGATGAGGAGGGGTGCTGCCTGTTTTTGTGAGGGATGCTTGTAGCAACCACAGTGTGAGAGTATGTGTGTAGTGCACATGTCAAGGCCCGAAGAAGACTTTGGTTGTCTTCCTTGATCACCCTCTACTTGGTTTATCCAATCAGTGTCTCTCACAGAAACCAGGGCCCACCAATTCTGGCTAGCCAGCTTGTCCCAGTGATTCTGTTATTGCCTTATGGATGCTGGGATGACAGAGCTGCCACACTTTCATTACTTTTATGAGGGCTCTGGAGGTTCAAACTCTGGTCTTCCAAGTGCTTTACCCACTGAGTCATCTCATTAGCCCTGGGGACTCATGTTCTAAAACCACATGACAAGCGTTACCAACACTGCAGGTGACAACACCCACTTTCGTTGGGTACGTGATTGGAGTAGGCTGCAGAGAAGGCATGAAAGTACAAGTGAAGCTCTAGAGCACATGGATGGGCACCTTGAACCCTGGAGTGAGGGCTGAGGATAGGAATGGCAGCGCGCACCATTTTCATAATCTGCCAACTTCTTTTAAAACAATATTATTTTTTGTGTAGAACTGTTTTACCCACATGTGTTTCTGTGCATCATGTACATGCCTGGTGCCTATGAAGGCCAGAAAAAGGCATCAGATTCCCTGGAACTGGAGTTAACAGGAGGTCGTGAGTTGTCATGTGCATGTTGGGAACCAAACTGGAGGAACAGCTAGACATCTGGCTTTCCCTCTCCAGCACTGGGAATACGAGTGTGGGTCACTACTGGCTTTTCTGTGGATTCTAAGGACGGAACCCATATTTTTTATCTTGTGTGACACACTTTTACCAACTGAGCCATCTTTCCAGCTCAGGCCTGTGATTTTTTTTTCTTGTGGGGAGAGAAGGAGGGACAGGAGGAGCAGGACGAGGTTGGTGAGGTTGTCCTGGTATAACCGAGCTGACCCTGAATCACTTGACTTTAACTCAGGCACTGGGGATCTAAAATCTGGTTCTCTTGCATTCACACAGCAAGCACCCATTGAGCTACCCACCCCAAGCCCAGGTTTTAGATACCGACGTAAATAAACAGACAACAGAAATGAAGAACACTGTATTAATGTTTATTTCTAATAACAAGAAACAGAACATCAGTCCCTTATTTGTACAAAAATACCTGAAAGTTTACAATTAGGTTCACGAGCCAAAGAGCTATATAGCACAGAGTGAAGCAAAGCACGCGGGATAAAGGTTTTGTCTATTAATCAACACCCTCTGCATTCCCTGAAAACGTTTACATGTTAGGTCATTTTTCCGGTCACTGTAGTTTGCACTATGACATCACAAATCTACGATGAGCTAGTTGCGCTCCCGGAGGCGCAGTGAGTGATCGGACAGACTGTCAGGTATTTAAGTGCACAAAGGGGAGACAAAACATCTAAGCTGAGGCACATATTTCTTCAAAGTTTAAGCAAACAAAAACACGTTCAAAAACTCTAACACCTAATAATATAACAGAGGCTACCTATTAAAACTCTAAAAACCCAAAGCATTTGGCATTTTCCTTCTCAACTTAGTCCTGGTGGCTACACGGAGTTTTCATTTGGAAAAGAAAATCACAGGCAGAGATTACAAAGTCAAACAGGCTCCAAAACAACCCTGAGCTGTCCCCTTTACATTCATGTCAATTAAATACAAAAATAAAAGTCAAATGTCCTTCAGTCTCTGGCTAGGGGTGCTGGGTACCCACTACCCCAGGGACCAGCTGTTTCAGGTGGAATTCCCAGCTGCCTGTGCAAAGGCTGGCGAGCTCGGGGCAACTGAAGTCTGCTACACTCAAGGCGGATTGCAGCCTTCAACAATTCACTTCGGCTAGGGAAGTACAAAATACTACGTCAAACCAGCTACGTACAAAATTGTGAACCAGAGTTAAGCCTATTCTTCCTTTTAAATAAAATGCATACTTATAAATATGAGATACACTTCCTAGCTGTCTACTGTAGAGGCAAAAGAAAATGATTATGCACTGTGGGGACTGTTCTGTGTAAACTGGAGAAAGAAATCCTAGAGTTGCTTGTTGTCTGTTTTGTAAAGTTCTGATCTTAAAGTCAGCAAAAAAAAAAAAAAAATGAATATGGTAAAAATGAAATGTCCGTTATCTGTCCCTAAGGGGAAGATCAGTGGAAACCTGCTGCCAGGCATGAACTTGAGAATTATCTCATTGTCAACTGAAATGATTAACTAGCTGCGAAAGAAAGAGAAATGCAATTGAGCATTTATGCTTAAGAAAATGTTTTACTAAAAAAAATGATAAAAGATAGATAAAAAGATAAAAAGTAAAAAGAAAAAAAAATTCTTCATTTGTTGTAATAAACATCTCGTGGAAACACGGGTTGCATGGTCTGTGAACTACAGTGTTTCTATACTGTGGACCAGCTTGCAGCGGACCTGCTTACAAAGCGCTGTTACATCTATCTTCCACTGTGCCGTCAACCGCAAGAAATCAGAAGTACTCCCTGGGGAGCACTTCAAAAGTCGGGACTGGCAATCTAGTGGCTAGCTCAGGTTCAAAGGGACAGTCAGGTGTGGTGTCAGGAAAAGAAATCTGTTCACCACGGTTGTCTGTGTTTCTCAAGGGAGTCCTGTCTGATACCCTCATGCCTGATAAAAATCATTAAGGGGACAACAGAGGGTCCTCCATGGGGGCTCAAGGGAGCCAATGACAACTCCAGCCACCTTCTGACTCCTCTCTTGGAGGAGGAAGCAAACATCATGCTGCTAAAAAAAACCCAAAAAATCAAAACTGTCCAATGTTCACAACCACTGTGAGGTACATCTCACCCGAAGCCATCAGAGGCAGAGCCTCTGCATACCCTGCTCCTGCTGGCTTAGGGGGTTTTCAGTAGGGTGCAGAGGTCATCAAGCAAAGACTCAAAGCCAGCCAATGCTGGCACCCTCTGCAGTGTTTCCTTATCTTTATCACCATAGATGTTCAGAGTGACAGAGCACAAGGTCAACAAGTTGACATTTTCTCATTAGATCCTTTCACCCCACTATCCCACCCCACCCCTGTGGGAGAACTGAAATGACTGAGGCTACTGCAGAGGGTAAAGGCAGCAATTATTCTACAACAGTGGGTGGCTATGAAAATGTGAGGCACAGGGCACCCCAGATGGACTATGTGGCATCCACAATGAATACCAATGTGTTACAAGAAGGCTTGCTGACATCAGTCTGAAGCTGAGGTCATGCAGCTGTGCTGTGCTGGGGAACAGTGAGTTTTCCAAAGTAATGAGGTCTCCTGCACTGTGGAGAACGAGACACACTAATAATAAATGACCAGACATCAGCACAACAACAATGATGACCAGACTGTGGTAGCTCGACTGAGTCCACAAAACATGCGTGGTGTCAACTGCGGTTGACACTTTTTATCTCATTATTTTATTTTATTTTATTTTATTTTTTAAAACAAAAGCTTTTCAAGTAGAATGGGAACTACTGGGGTATCTATAATGTAGGAGCCAAATCCACACTGTGGCAACCTGTGGAAAGCAGGATGCCCTTGAGAAAACTTTGGGGACCAATTTTTCAGGCTGAAGACTGCCAATTCAAAATTCTTTGTCTCATCTGGGTTGCAAAGCCACATCCCCTCCTACCATATAGGCTGAGTACAACATTGACAACGAAGAAGGAGTGCAAAAAAGTGATCAATACAAAAAGTAAACATCGCGGTTTTGTCAAGATTATTCCAGGGCAAGAGTTCATTTCCAATCATTTCTCTGCGGTTTTCACCCTACGTGGCCTAATCAAAATTATCATTCCAGTTTCTTCCCACACTTGCACTGGATCTCATCCCTCCCCCAATTTAAATGGCTGACGCAGAGGGAGGTGGTCCTGCTTGATCCGCAGCGGCAAATCTTTGTGAAGTCCAATAACTAATTGATGTTGGTCGGTTGGCACCGATCAGAAAGCCATGATGTTCTGAGTTGTTGGGTGGGAGTAGGTGTGTGTTCTCACCCTCATGCAGGCCTCTCTTCTCCGTTCCAGTGTTGCTGCCTCCAGCCTCTGTGATAGGGCAAGGAGGTCATAAGGCCACACGGATGCAGTGGTGCTTCAGCTTGCAGGGCAGAACACCTTTGTTGAGCTGGTAGAAGTCGACCAGCTGAATCAGATCGGAGAACTTGGTGTTCCCATCATCCAGAGTGAAGAATGTCTGCCCATCATCCTCGCACTGCAGAGACACAGAAAGTACTTGCCACATTAGAGGATGTGACTTTGGGGGATACCCTGTGGCCTGTGGTCAGCAGCAAATTTGCCTGCTTATGGTTCTGTTCCTGAGAGCCACACACAAAGTTGGCAAGGTAGGTCAGAAGACATGGTGTGTAGGGAGCCAGTATTTGTGCCTGGTGCTGTAACCACACTTTCTAATACTGAGAGGGGGACAGGAGTACAACTTCTCGTTGGTAGCCACTTAACTATCAGTTAGGTCCTCTATAATTTTGAGTAGTCATGAGATACACTGGCTCAATTCCTTCACTGAAAACAGTCAAGGTCAAACCTGCTGGAAGTGTCTAGTAGCCCTAGAATCTCCTGGTTAGTTACATATAGGCTGAGAGGTCTCAAGGCAACAGCACCATGCTCAGCACCATTCCCTTATGGAGACTCTTGAGAACTGCTTTCCTGAACTGGAAGCTGTCTGCAACTATCTAGAGTTTGTTATGTTTAAATTGGAAATTGCATTAGGAATGAAAGGACTGGTTGGAAGGTATCGGCACTTACAGGTAAGATCTGGAAATTTTTAATCTTCTGGTGATGGCACAGTGTCAGTACGAACGCCTTTGGATTACTCTGGCTGTCACGGAGAAGGAACAGCCTGTAGAATGGAAACCAGCAATTTATTATTGATTTTTAAAAAAATCCAAATCCCCATGTATGAACACACATGTATACTTCTGCACACCAGCTAGACCTGCCTGATAAAAATGGGCTTATAGCCATGACACTTTGGTGTTTGGGCACCTGAGTGGTTTCTGGTAGCAACAGCATCCAGAAGGTAGTTTAGGATGTCATTTGGCATTGAAAAGAACCAGGGAACCTTGAGAACATGGCTGACTTTGGTAAGGCAGGGAAACTACAAAGATGAAGCTGAAATGTTCTGTGTTAGAGGGTCAGAGAGTGCTCACAGGTCACCAGGGACATTTCAAAATTACCCAAACGAAGAGAAGCTTTTTCCTAGAGAAGATGCCAGCAACATAGAACATGGTTACTCACTCACAGAAACCTGGGAGCTTCCAGTGTCCCTGTCTGATCATCTGATCGCTATCCCTGTCTCAGTCATTATCTGTCTACCATTCCCATCTGTAGATAGGGTGCTAGGGCAAGATGAAGGCAAAGCTGAACACTTGTCCTGGGCTGCTAGAGGCCACTGTGATAATAACAACTGATAATAATAACAGTTTGGACTCTGAGGTCCAAACTTTCTTGCTGGCCCTAGTTACCCTGTGACAGCTAGGATGTACATGCTTGTAGGTCAAACTGGCTGCAAGCATGTTTCCAGCCACTCTGGCCAATGGCTGCCATCACCCACTATATACCTCAGTGAAGTCATCCTTTGTTGTCTTGCCCAGCCTAGCAGTGAGACAATCTACCTGAGTAGTCACAACTGTGAGAAGAAAGCCTCTTGTGGTGTAAGCCATAACCTGTTCTTAGTAAAAGGCAATTTTGTAAAGTGTATAAATAAATGAGTGTTGGTGATTTCTTTCTATTTGTTTACTGTCTTAGAAAGTAAAAGCAACTAGCCTTATTCTTTTCTATTTAAATTTCATTTAAGGAATAAATGGCACATCTGGATACATCCAGGACAGGAGAGTTCAGAATCATCTCTGGCCTTAACTTGGCAAGGTCAGCATACTTTGCCTCTGCATGGGCTTCTGCAGGGCACTGTGAGTAGTGAGGTGGAGCATGTGTTCAGCACAGTGAGCCTTCAATAGATGACAGCTTCAATTAGTGGAGTTTCCTTACCCGTCCACGAGACCTTGTTGCTTGATGATCCTGTGAGACTCCTCACGGGAGATACGTCCATGAAACCAATGCTGAGTCCTGTGAATCACTGTGGGAAAGATGGAGGAGATGAGGGTAAGACCTGGCTCCTCTGCAGAGACCCAAGAGCCCAGATAACAACTCTTGACAACTTGGATCTCAGTTCTAGCAGCACTGTGCACAGCTCAGTGAGGTTCAGAGAGCAGGGCTCTTCTCTGTTTTTACATACCACACAAAGCCATTAGCCGTGCTTACCTGAATTCAGGGTAGAAGGATGAAGGGGACTTTGGCTGCTTAGGATATTCATGCGAGTGCTTCTCTTCTGCAGATGAAATGCCCATGTTAGAAACCTGAGAAACTGATGTGTCAAGCCATCTACTGTCTAGGACAAGGGGATAAGCAGTGTCCCCAAACCCTTAGCCTTTGATGACACTACCTGACTATGGAGAATAAAGAGTTTCTTGGCCAAAATGGTAAAGAAAATGAAGTAAATGCATTTTGGTTATTTCTAGCCAATCCAGTACTGAGGCAGCAGTGTGTTTCTTACTCAGACTACCTATGATGCAAATCCTGGAGACTCAGCAGAGCAGCCCAGGCTACTGCTTTAAACTCTGGCAGTTCTCAGAGCCCTGTTCTCCAGAGTCCCTGTGCTGAAGACTTTTGCCCTTTTCCCACACTATGGTTGCAGGACTGGGAATGTCTTCTAAGCAGAGCCCTGGGCAGGTGTTCTGCACATGGTCTTTAAATTTCAGGGAAACCTGAGCTGGGAGATAATCTTCCCATCTGCAGATTCAGCACTTGAGCTTAGTGAGAGAACTGTTCCCTGTGGAGTCCTCATACGAATGTCTGGCCCCGTGCCCTCCACAAACAGCCACTAGTAATTTATCAGCAGGAACAGCTCAGGACAGAGTGGTGTGGAAGCCTGACAGCAAGGAGGGCTCCTGGGGCCAGCTGCTTCCTGCAGTTACTCCCATAACTCCCTCTTACCAATACCAATAGAGCCCGTTTGGTAAAAACCTGGGTGTTTGTGTGTAACCACTTTCAACCAAAATGGGGTTAGTGCCTTACCCGCCAGGCATGGCCCTCTTCCAGGGCAGCACTCTGGGCTTCAGCCGGATTATCGATCACTCTTCCGGTTTGTCCAGAAAAATCCATGGCCACCAGAGAATTCTCAGAGACACTGCGCTGCAAAGCAAAGGCCACAGATTCTAAGATGCAGAAAAATCAGCCAGGGCAGCAGGCTGGAGATCACCCCATGGGGCAATCATAAAGATAGGTGCTACAGAGTTCCCTGTTTCAGTTTGAAAACTCAGTGATTTAAATGGAACCACACAAAAAATGGTAAAAATGGCTTTGGGCTTTGTTTAAAAAGACAGGAAGGAGGGAAAGAATGGAGATTTGGTTGGTCTATGCCCAACTCCTCACTGCAGACCATGCTTGGAGGCATTAGTTTAGGGAAGCAAATACTAGACTCTTCTATGACATGGCTTGCTCTCTTCTGGGAATAGATTAACAGAGGATCAAGATCACATTGATAATTCTGTACAATTATACAGGGGTGGTTATACACTCAATATCCTGACCAGGGAATGACTTCAACATTCATGGGTCCCATGACTTAAAGGAACAAAAGCCAATGATGAGAAAGATGGCTTTTGGAGAACTGGGTGTGGCTGTTGATGTTTTTGGAACAGGTAAGGCATGCTTCAGTGAGGCTCCCACAAGACTTGACTGTTGAGGGTCCTCTACTTACCACAGGTGTATTGAAAGGAGAGAGCAAAGCCTTTCTCTGCTGTGGGATGCGATAGTTTTGGTACAGGAGCATTCCGTACTGAAGAGGAAAGACTAGAGTCAGTACTAGCACCCAAGAGCCCCCACAGCCCCAGCCCACAGCAAACCCCACAGCTGGGAGGGCAGTGCTGATACTCAAGAGCCAGCTACTCTTTGCCAAAGGGCCCCCACACCCCCCATGAGCCTAAAACGCTGAAGATGGTGTGCTTCTGTTCAGTTCTGCCTCAGAACTTCTATCCTGGAAGAGAGGGGGTGCTGACAGGTCTGGAACTGTTGGAGAGGGAACAAAGAGAAAGGCCAACAACACATATCATAATACCAAGGTGAAGAACGATTGCCTTTCCTGAGTTCTGCATGAGTCAAGTACTGTACTGTCTATTTCATCTACCACTCCCCGTTTTTATGACCTATACACTATCATTAGCTCTACTCTACAGATAATGGAACTGAAACACAAAGAAATGAAGCAAGTGATCCAAGGTCATGAGAAGGTAAGAATTCAGGACTCAAGTGCACATAGCTGGTTCTAAAGCCAGTCTCCAGAAGACAGAGGTCTCACATACTTTCAACAGTCCAAAAAAATACCAAACTATTGATTCAAGACAACAAATTGACCAAATTGGAACAGAGAGAGAGAGAGAGAGAGAGAGAGAGAGAGAGAGAGAGACAGACAACATATGAGTGAGCACCAGGAAGAGGAAATAAAGTTCTGAAGTGGCTGCATCATCTTCTTGCTTCACAGGGTGCAAACTCTCTTGCAGCTCTTAGTCCTATAGACCACTCCTTCCTAAAGTACCAACATGTACAACATGACAAAACTGTTCTCCATGAGTGTAAGTGCTCTCCTGTGAGAGGAGGAGACAGAGGACAAGTCAGGACAAGTGTTTGAAGTGAAAATTACCAAGAATTCCCCAAATTGTTGAGAAGACAACTACACAGTCAAGAATACATAAACCAGACACGTTATGGGAAAACTGCTAAATAAAAATAAAAAGAGACGAGAAAACATCAAAGCATTTCTTGGGTCCACGTGGCAAAGACTGCTAAAAGCTGAGCTCTTCTAGTCCCCCAGAGAAGAATGCATGTTTGGGAAAAATTATAGTGCAAATAAACAGATGATTAAAATAATATTTGAGTATATGAGAAGCACAGCAGCAGTGCACTTTAGGGGGTTTTAATACAGAGAATGATTATCCACAACAAGAACATGTCAGATAGGTGGTGAGGGAAATGAAAAAAGCTCTATGTCAGCCTGACTGTGATGAAAGGACTAAATTACATGGCTTTTTAATAAGTTAAAAAGATGCATGTTGTGATGCTGTGGTAGCTACTGGAAAACAGAAAATCAATGTATGAGAAACAGGCATACAGGGAAAATGTAAATGAAAATGCTTCACGTGAAAGAAAAATTATGCAAACACTAATCAGATCACCTGAGGCAGCAATGTTAACATTAGACAGACGGATAAGACCTTAGGGCAAGAAACATCACTGGAAACAATGAACCATGTTTCATCATGACACAGACTGAGAAACCTGTCAGACATAAATAACCTACACTTCTGAGCACCTGGTAATGCATACACTTAAACTCAGTCATATATGCATGGTTTGTAGATAGTCCTTCCTCAGTTGCTGTCAGGGGAACTGGTTCTGGGACACACTACAAGTTACAAAACAGTATTGGCATAGGACCTATGTACACCTTCCTGTAAATTGCACTAGAGTCTAGGGTCTTCTATCACTTTCTATCTTATCTTTGGAGGTAGATAGAGCCTCTCACTGAACCTGGAGCTTGCCATTTGGGCGATGGTAGCTAGCTAGAAAGCCCTGGGAACTGTCTGTCTCAACCATTCCCCAGAACTGCAGTTATATGTACACTGCCATGTCCAGCTCTTTATGTGGGTGCTGGGGCAAGGAAACTTAGTCCCTTAGATTTGCATAGCAAGCACTTTACCTACTGAGCCATCTCTTCAATTCTCACATAAAATTTTATTAAAGAGCATTTCTGATCTGTTTTGGTTGGTTTTGAGAATGTGGAGCCTGTGGCTAGGCAAGGCTGGCTGTATACATACAGGTCTATACTTGTGTATGGTCTCTCTGTGTCTACATACATGTATGGGGAAAGTCAGAAGGCAATCCTGGGTCAGAAAGTCAGAAGTCTTCCTTAGTTGTTTTTGAGACAGGATTTTCTACTAACCAACTAGGAGTTCCAGGGATCGTCCCTTTTCTTCCCTCAGTACTGAGGTTACAGAAACATACTGCCACATCTAGCTGCTCCTGATGATGGAGATTTGAATTCAGGTTCTTATGTTTTCATGGCAAGGACTTTACAACTGAGCCATCTTGCCAGTCAAGCAAATATGGGTGTGCAGGTAAATGGAGGGATGGAAGTAAGGGGTTAAGCTTGCCCTGGCTTGGGAGAGATGACCTCTCTGAGTCATTAGAATGGCCTGCCTGATATAAGTGCTTAACTAGGGACCTGGGCCAGACCACAGAGCCTATGTTAAGAGTGTGATTCATGCTGGGCCTGGAGCCATGCTAGGAACTAAGGCTAGCCACATAAGTGATAGGTCTATATGGCCAACAATGCATGGAAATTGGGGTCCACACTAAGGCTTGGGTGAGCTTCTCCAGTCAGTAATGTTCTGGGTGTTTTTTGTTAGCAGATTCAAATATGGCGTACCTGACTCCTCTTTTCTGGATTACTTTCAGGTTATTCATTCAAACCTCTCCCTTTCACTAAAATAGTTTTGCTGAATTCATAGCCCTAGTTCATTAATGAGGGGTGGGAGATCTAGAGGGTCTCCCAAACTTGCCTGCATGCCTCTTCCCACAACACACAGTCACACACCTAATAAATCTAAACTCTACAGTATTCTAAAATCAAATCTTTTGATCAACAATATAGCATCTCAAGTAGAAAATATAACATTTGACTTTTGATAGGTCACTGTTAAAACCCAAGAAAATGTATAAAATTACTTCAGGTTTCATATATATGAAACAAATGCATTCATGTTTAGATATAGGTCCTATCCCCAAAATCCATAGTACTTCTTATCCCAAGTATTTTTGAGAAGGGTCACTCACCCTGGAAATACAAAGTTGGGAGTATATTACCCTTATATGCTTTTTTTCCCTTTCCCAAAGCAGAGTACCTTTGCTCTGTATTTGGCTCAACCTGAGTGCCTTTCTAGAATGTCTTTAAGTAGACATTTAGATCACTGACTTTAAACTGTACTTCTTTTTTTTTTTAAACATGTATTCAACACTAAAAATTTGCCTCTGAAGTTCTACTGTAATTGTAACTTATGGTATTTTTATAATTACTCAACTGGCATATCTTCCGATTTTGTTTTGCATTCTCTCCTTGAATTATTTCAAATAGATCATTTTTACAAGAAGGTATTATGCATAAAATTATACTTCATTTGCATAGTATTTTAAAGGGTTTTTTTAAAAACTCAGTTACTAAGGAAGTAGAATATTTTCATACTTATTGTTTGCAGTTTAAAGATTACAAGTTCACATTGTTTCTACTTAAAAATATGAGGACCTACACGGTAGTTACTTGTATTCATACAGAGTCTTGAAATTGTTAAGCCATTAGCCATTTATGTACCAGCTGTCTATAGAGTCACCTTCTTTCATTTCCCTTTTTATTTTAGTTGACTGGGCTTTAAGGATACATGTATAGTCCAATTAATGTTATTTCCTTTGTAATTCCTTCTATTGCGTAAGAAAAAGAAAAGTATGACCTAACAATGTTCCCTGCTTCATTGCAGTGTAGACTCTCACTTCCTATTCACATCAAATTAAATGTGACTCTCCTAAACAGTAAAGGATTAAGGTAACAGTGGACTGTTTTTGTTTCTTTGTGTAAAGAGACAACAGCATGTCTCCACATTCAGAACTTGCCATGTTAAGAAATCTCCTCCTGGGCTGGGGAGATGCCTCAGTGAGCAAAGGTGCTTGTCACTAAGCCTGAATTTGGTGCCCAGAACCCACATGGTGGAAGAAGAGAACTGACTCCCCGAAGCTGTCCTCTGACCTCTATACACATGCCCACACACATTCCCCTAAAGAAACTAATTAATAAATTAACATAATAAAGAACCATAAGCACATCAATAAAGTTCACAGGAGTTTAACATTACAAATGGGGTTGAGTTTGGGGATCTAATGAAAGGAATCCATTTGCTTTGTGAATCCATTGTGCATTGACAGTTTTCCTTTATTACCTAGTTTTCATTCTGGCCATTAACCCTGGAAGACCCAACACGTTGAATAAAAGGACAGATCTTTCTCTAGTAACTTAGTGAAACATGTAAGTTCTTAACTGAGGTAGTAGGCAAGTTTACTGTTTTATGCAAAGCTAACAAAAAGGTTTAGAGTCCTGATAGAAGCACGCTTCAAAGATTACAGTTCAACTCCAGGAATACAAGACAAACTTAAGGAGGTTGGCTTTAAAAAACAAAAACAAAAACAAAAAAACCAGGAGGGAGTTGTAATCACATGGGAGCATACCCTATTTAGCACAGACGTTTAATGAAAAGGAATCTATTAAGTCCAACTAGGCTGAGCCTTCCAGAGGCTCCGTGATTTGATGGGCCATGTCCCTGGTTCAGAAGTGGCATAGGCCATTATAGGCTTGAGCATCTAACTGGGAAGTGAGACTCTCCCTGCTAAGTTCTAGCAGGAGTAAGTCTCTGCCATTACAAGCTAATGAGACTGTGGGATGCCTGCTAATCTACAATACTCTAATTCACTACATTTAAAAGAAAATCAGGTCTTTTTTTCTGTCTGTCATACTGGGGAGTTACAAATTTTTCGATGAAACAGGGAAGTATTTTGCTATGAAAATCTTTTGAGAACCCACTTGATTTGACTTTAGGGAAAGAATGCAAAGAAAAGTCTAAATCCAGAATGCTTACATTTTGGATATGGCAAAAAAAATAGATTTGGGGGAGGGACCAAAAGAAAAAAATAGACCCAAAGCTTCCACTTGGTCTCAATAATATTTTATAAAACAAAGGATACATTAACATCATTAGGAAAAGTGGCCACTATTTCAGAGTGAAGGATTACAAATGGACATATTCTCACTATGAACATAAGCAGCTTCTTGTCAAGTCAAACTTGTCACACTGGTCCTTATGTGTTTCATTTTTGCCATGAACAGGAGATGCCTCCTTCCAGTAACTGAGGACTGGCTGTGTGGAACCGTTATGTCTAAGTCTTGGCATCTAAAGTAGAACCTAGGAGGGAGTATTTGCACAGGGGGGGACATCTGTATAGGAAAGGCTAAGGACACTGAGCCACCACCCAAGTAATTCTGTGATTCCCAGTCTGTTGCCCTCTCTGGCATGCCTAGGCTCCATGAGGCAAGGCTTCTCTGACCTCATTACACTGGATGCAGCCTTTTGTTTTGCATACCCTCTCACTGCTGAGATGGCTTTGATCCCTGTATTTAGCTGCTTCATAGCACTGCAGTGAATTTCTTCTTTGTTTCCAATATGCTAGTCCTACTGTCAAAATGCTTTTGCAGAGGAGGCTCCTCATGCCTCTTGGTGGTCTGCTGTCTTGCTGAACATGAACCTAATTGCCTTTTCAGGGCGGGGTAATTTAAAACCAAAGCAACCACAATGACAGGCTCTTGTGCTGACACAGCAAGACATTTTGTGGAGGGAATTTTTACATCAGTTTAAGAAACTTTTAGAAAAGCAGGGAGAATATGAGAAGTAGGTAACCGTTACGGCTTTCTAACCCTTTGGCACAGCCCTGTGTCCAAGAATGACTCAATGATGCAATAGGAAAGGATGAAGAACACAGTCTGACCCCATGTCCTGCACTGTCCACTAAGTAAGTCTGTAATGCTGAACACAGCCATGCCTTTAGCAACTGTGCTTTTTTCCTCTTTCAAAGGAAAGCACACCTATGCAAGCACTTCAAAATGTAAGATGGCCCTTGGTTATTTTTAAATAACAAAGTTTTCCTTCCCCAAAGCCCTAGGATCTCAACATGACATAAATTACTGTTTTAACACTGCTGACGCCAAGTCCACGTTTGCTTAGGGGTGCTGGGAGGTGACTTTTCAGGATGATTTAGGATTCTAGGGTCTCTATGTTGACAGTCGTAATAAAGCAAGAAACCCTCCATGTTGAATTCACTTTTTCCAGATTTAAAAGAAAACAAAAACCCAGCCCATTTCTAGCGGGTACGAGTATCTGAGAGGATGAAGCTCAAGGACTTGCATTACAGACCAAAACCTTCACAAAAGAAGACACAACATGGTATTTTTCTATCTGTGCTGTGAGCCTGCAATCTTTAATTCCAACTCCCCATTTGATGACTTTTTCCAGCAGCCTGAGGGAGACTTTGGCATTACCACGAATACACAGATGCCACAGGCATGGCATCAAGAAAGGAGAGCATATACATGGGTATAATCCCAGCTGAGGCAAGAGGATCAGTCAAGTCCTTCTTGAGTTACAGAGAAAGCTTGGACAATCTACCCGTATTGTGCTAAAAATGTGTAAAAAGAGGTCTAGGGTTAGTGCTCGGTGGTACAGTGCTTGCTTAGCATGGGGGAGACCCTGGGCTTAATCCCTAACTGTGCAAAAGACAGCCGGACAGAAAGAAGGAATGGACAGACAGGCAAACCCACATATAGAGCCAGAAACATGAGTGTAAGCTGGCATTTGCATGAGCCTTTATTATATCCTGAGGGCCTCAATGGGGATTTGGGAGGAGAGCCTGGAAAACATGGAAGACAAGCCCAAGGAAGTTGGGTTCATGGGTCCTGCCTAATCCTGCTTTCTGCAGCATGCTGCTCATATCTAAGAAGGGCCTTGGGGAACTTATCAGGGATAAGAAACAGGAGCAGTTCTAGGCTTCCTGTGGCTTGAACTTCCCATTCTGAAGGTAGTATGAAGCTGCACTACCACATGACCAGCCTAATCTTGTCTTCCAACTTTAACTAAGATGACTTCTACCAAAAGAATGTATGGAGGGGAGAAAGAGCTTGGTGTATGGAAGGTAATAATTACATAGCTGCTTAGGAAGGTCAATGACCTTGAAGCACAAGGAATTGTGACAGAAACAGAAAAATTCTACTGTAACCTCATTGGAGACTGGCAACTCGGTAGGCCATACCTAAGTATGGCACTGCCTTCTGTAAGAAGTGCCCTTCAAGATGTATCCTGAGACCTTTGGAATCAAATGATACCCGCACAGAAGCTGGGACGCTAGACCTCAATGCAGAATCAGATATATTCCAAAATACCAGGGAGGCTGAAGCAGGAAGATTTTGAGTTTGAGGCCAGCATGGGCCACATACAAACCCTCTATCAAAACAATAAACCAAACCAAACCAAAACAGGAAGTGGACATGCAACTGCCCAGGGCTGTCAGGGAGGGCGGCAAAGCACAGTACTTAGGAAGTGAGCTCAGGAGCCAGAATGCTGCTCTCAACCTGGCTCTGCCACACCCCAGCGGCCACACCTCCAGCCTCAGTGTTGTTACCTGTGAATGAGACAATCATGACACAAAGCTGCTGTGAGGAGAATATGAGGTTGGGCACGGAGGCACGGATGTTCAGAACAGGCTAATGGTGTCATGTTAGCATTAATATGGTGTAAGATCTCATGATTTGCACTTCATGAAAAAGCCAATTAGTGTTGTCACAGTCAGTTCTGTCTATTTCCTTTCCTGTGATTATGGTACAGTGGTTGACAACTGGCACCTACTAACTGGACTACGTATCACCAGCTTAATAAAACACATTCTTTTATAGTGTACAATGCTACTTTTCTATTTCTTTTGTTGCCTTTTTAAAAAAAACAAACATTTTCAGATAAAAAAAATCAACCCATATAGAAATACAAAGGTTTGTGTCTAGCATCTGTCCCTACTTGTATAGTGGTGCTATCTCTCAGCAACCTTTCTTTTCCTGTACCGTAAAGTCAAATACAGATTTTTATTTTGCCTCTCTCTCCCACACAAAATGGAGGACATCCTAATATTGATATACACTTGTTTTTTGGTTAATAGTTTTTCTAAAACAGAGATTATTAATTTATTAATTAATTTATTTATTATTTTAAACAAAGAGTCTCTGTATAAAGTCTAAGCTGGCCTTAAACTCAACAATCTTCCTGCATCCACTTCCAATTGCTAGGATTCTAGGCATGTGCACCACACCTAGAAATCTTATTATTTTAACATACAGAAAGTATTCCTTTCATGGCTAGCTTACATCCCATCACTTGGATGACAGACTTTGCACAGGCTTAGAACTGAGAGTTGTCTACTGTGGGGAAATTCCTTATCCCTTGATGTTCAGGGATAAACATCTGGAAACATCTAGAGGTTATTTTTGACTGCCTCCACTGACTGGGGGCATCTTGTGGGCAGAGATCTATAATGCCCAGGGCTCCCTTTTTAGCTCACAAAGAATCAATTTCCACCAACAGTTGATGGTGCTCAGTTAGAAAACCTGGCTCTACCCTTTTTGTGCTCTGAGATCTTATGTAGAAGAATGGACAACTACACTTGAGAAATAAATTCTGACTCAATAGTGCAAACATCGTAGCATTTTTGTGCCAGGATGGCCCCATATCCAGTTGTTTGTTCCACGTGAGATACAGCCACTGCAGCCATAAGTCACATACCTTGAGGAGTCTGAAGGCTGTCATCCAGCAAGTACGGATCTGCTCATCCTCGGCACAGAGCAGACGCAGCTCCTTCATCTCGACTTTCGCTTTGTTTGGCTAAAGGAAAAATGAAAACCCCACCAGTGCAATAGTGAACAATCTTACCAAGAAGAATAGAACATGGACTTGGCCATGGTGTGTGTGTGTGTATGCACAAGTAAGCATATTTGCACTTATGTCTTTGAGTGCATGTTCACATCTGTGTGTTCTGACTACAAGCACACACACATATTCATGTGTCAGTGTTCCCATATACACACATATAGAGGGTAGGTATATTGTGGTCAATCCTCATGACCAGAAGCCCACACAAACAGTGTCAGTTCATTCACTGGCTACAGATAATTGGGTATAAGGTTAGAAGCCCCCCTCCTAACCAGCTTCTGCCTCTACTGTGACCAGGTAAAAGCTTCACCCAGAGCAGGTGGCCAAGAACTACCCAGCTTTAAGTCACTGAGTCCATTGGGTACTCCATAGAGCATGTGCGACTATTCAAAAACCACCAAGTCCTAAGCACCCAGTAAAGCCAGTGTAAAAACCATTTCTGTTTGAAGCAAAAGGATCCATAACCAAATACTGGGCAGGAGAAGAATCCTGTGCACAGTTCCCAGTGCTAGGCCATGGGCAGTATCCTGTGGAGTACCTTGATGCACATCCCATAGTCATTGGGCGCATTGTACTGCTTCTTTCCATTAATCAGGTAGAAGATGCTGCTTTCCTCCAGGTCAGCCAGCAGCTGCAGGTGTCTGGGTTCCTGCAAAATAGCAGGCAAGTGAAGTGTGGGGGGTCACATTCCCTGGAAAAAGTCTACAGTGCTAAAAGCTCATTTTGAGGTCTGTAGTCACTTTGCAGCTCTCATCTTTCTACTAGTCCTACACATGAAACTGAAATGACAGCAAGGAATCCTTACAATAGCATAAGCTAAAAATGTCAGCTATGTTACCATAGATTTCAATTTTTTTTTATATGATCTTTGCAATTTTTTAAATTTGCTCTAGCAGAGCCAAAACCATATTTTGCTCATGAACACACACGGCAACCACAATCCAGCACCTATCCTACAGCCAGCTTGGATCCAAGTTCTAGATTATGAAAAGCAAACGTGACTGACTCAGCCAGGAGGGTGTGTGCTCAACCCACCCACAGTAGGGATCCAGGGCTGGGCATCCCAGAGGTGCAGGAGTGACATGACGAT